CCAGCTCATTTGCCTCAGTCACTTTATCTCGTTTCTGGACATGTGCAGATATGGTCATCTGCTTCTGTGTTTTGGGCATATTCAGGGGTTATCTGTGGCCTTAATACTTAGATGGGTATGTATTTTGGTATTTTTTTATGCTTTCTGATTGCCCCCAGATAGATGTGATCAGGAAATGGGCTTCCCTTTTCACTCTTCTTCTTGAGAAATTTTAAGATGCCTCTGTTGGTCGTTTTGACGTAACTTAGGATTTAATTTTCAGCTTATTTCCTTTTTTGTCTGCTTGTCCCACTCCACAATCCCTGCTCAGGCCTTTTTTCTAGTTGTAAACAGTTCTGTGTCTGCTGTGGCCATTAGGTTTTAGTTGGAAACTGTCACTTTAATTTCGAGGATATCTGTGTGCATGCGTAGTAGAACCCTCTGAGAGTGGGGCTGGGGTGTCTACTAGCTCAGGCACCCCTGTAGTCACCAGAATGGAGATGCCCAGACAGCAAGGGACCAATGAACAAATACCAAAAGAAAAAAAAAAGTCCACACCTTTATCTCTGCAGTTTTGCCAGGCATCTGTGGCCGTTCCGATCCTTCCCCCACTTGGTCTTACCCAAGATGGCGGCTCCTGGAGCAGCTGAGCATCCTGAACTCGAAAGCAATGGATTTCTTGCTTCTGCCACAAATTACCCCATCTGTAAGCCTTCCAACTTTCTAAATATTCCTTTGTATGTGGTTCAGGGTTCTGGGACTATCCCCTGAGCCTGCTTGGTTGGGCATTCTGTGTTGTTGCTGGCGGAGCTCCTTACTGCACTTCCACCCAATCTGCCATCTTGTTTGCTCTCAGTCCATGGTACTTTTCATATTATTTTCCAACACGATAACTCAATTGCATCAATTTTTCTATCTCTTAGGTCCTTATATTTATTAGATTCAACAAACCTTTGTTAAGCTTCTGATATACACTGAGCATAGAAATGACAAAGTGACACTCGACTAAGTTTCATGTTATACCGTGCTTTGGAAAATGGGGGCGGGGAGCACGTTGCAAAACGGGCAGTTAACAGCCTGGGATGATAAAGAAACCCTTGGTAAAGGTGATTTTTGAACAGTGCTAAAAAAAAGATCATTGGACTCCTGCTGTAACACTCTAGGATTAGCACTAGACTGTGAACCACAAGGTTGTCAGTTCAACTCTACCAGCTGCTTCCTGGAAACCCTACACAGGGTTGCTATGAGTTGGAATCAACTTGACAGCACTCAACCACAGAAAAGATAATTAGGAATTGGTTGCATGAATAATCAGATTATCACAAAATGCAAATTAATGGCCAATTGGTACAGGGTGGCCCAGTGAGTTAAGTGCTGGGCTGCTAATCAGAGGTCTGCAGTCAAACCCTCCAGCCACTCTTTATGAGAAAGATGGGCTGTCTGCTCCTGTAGAGATTTAAGTCTTGGCCACCCTAGGGAGTGGGAGCAGTTCTACTCTGTCCTACTGGGTCTAGATAAATTGGAATGGACTTAATGGTAGTGAATGGGTGGGTTGTTTGACTAGAACACTATCTTTTAGAATGAGAAAGGATTGCATAACTATAATAATGAAAAATGTTTTCTTCTTTTGATAATTTTTAATTCTCGGAGTTTTTACTTTGGTAAAAACAAGTAAGATTTGCCACTGACAGTTTAATAAAAATTAATAAAATATCAGTTGTTACTCCAGTGCACTATTGTTATAAATAGAAGGTTTATAACTTTTCCATAAGAAGACCCCTTTTATTAATTATTAGTTCAATGGTCAAAACAATTTCAATCACAGATTATTAATCACTGATGTTAAATAGATAAACTGTCAGTCAAAGAAAATCACAACCTGTTAGAATATCATGTTCTAAACAAGTGATGGGGACATTACCAATTCCAATGACTTCCTTTGGCAGCATTGCTTTTGACAAAATTCTTCTGATGAACTGTAGATTTTTTCTTTTTCAAAGCAAATGGACATTTTAGCCTTGTCAAGATAATGTATGAAAATGCCCTAAATTGAATGTAATCAGTATCAGTTTTTAAGGATTAGTTGTTGTTGGTGTTTTTCCTGCCAAATTGGTTGACTAGTGTGAGGTGAGGCAGTACCTCATCAGTCTTGCTAATTTAGGTTCCCACTCAATTATTTTCTTGTTGTTTTTAAACTGTGCAGTTAGTCCCTTCGTTGTGTGCAATATCTCTGTTTTTGGACTGCTTGTCTGCTATCCATGTGCTTCCTTGGTAGGCAGCTGGCAAATATGTATGGTTTTGCAACTCTAGCCATTTGCGCCAATGACTGAATGACACTAGTTTGCTCCATCTCTGGTCACTTACTTGCACTGGAGCCCAGTTTAACACTTCCTCTATGGCTGTTTTGAATGGTGTGAAATTACTTCTAATTGCACAGATACACAAGAACACACACTAAGAAATAGTCAGTGACAATAACCAAGTATCTTTTCCCACCTCCTGGTTTTCTAAAAGAAACTAAGGAACAAAAAGGAGTCCTGGTGTGGTGCTGTGGATTCATGCACAGGATTGCAAAGTTGTTTGAAACACAAGGTTGGTGGTTCAAGCTTACTCGTTGCTCCTTGGAAACCCTACACAGGGTTGCTATAGGTTGGAACTGACTCAATAGTACTTTAACAACAACAGAAGCTAGGTAGCCTGTCTTTTCATACTGTTCCCTTCAACCTCTCCTTGATAGTCTAAGAAACAGCAGGAAAATGACATTATAAATTTCACCTTTATTTCTCCCTCCCCCCAGATTAAAACAAGACTCCATAACCTTCTTTATAAAGGCAGTTCTGTAGTTTAGATGTGAGGAAGTGTCTGAACAAGTGGCTTCAGGTTGTCAGAGATCAGGTGATGCCAAAATCCGGGCTTAGTTTTGTTTCCTGAAAGACTCTGGATACTGGTGCCCTGACAGTTTTCGTAAAGAGGTGAGACGTAAGTCCTGCTCTTAAGCCAAGCTGCTGCGACTCCTAGGTGTGCTGTGGCTCTCTTGAAGAGAAGATTGCTTGGCTGGCAGGGGCTACATAGTGAATGAAGAAGGTAGAACCAGTTCAATTTGCCATCAGTCAATCCTGCCATAGCTTTAATCTTTCTAGGTAGCAGGCTTCAGAGGGAAAAGTTGAGCTGTCCAGGTCAGATGAGGGTATTCTTATCCTACCCAGGAACTCAGGCAGTATCAGGCACACAAACCAATCTAGACAAATGAAAAGTGTTGAGACTAATCTGGCAGTGAGTGTGTACTGGGCTTTTACCGGACACCAAGCTGGTAAGGCTAGAAGGTTTTACTCCCTTTTGGCCACTGAAAGGGACTGCCACTTTCACAGGGAGTGTTAAGCAGTTCTGCTCTTGGGTCTAGGTGTCACCACCTGTCAGTCCAATGGGATGCCCAGCAGGTTGCAGCTGACATCCCATAGCCGCCGGGCTACTGTCTCATTTCGAGCCTGAGCAGAGACCCAGGCTACCTGGCAGTCACTGGAAGAGAATGAGAGGGATTAAAGAACAATGTTAAGGATACTTTCTACTGGGATATGGAATTTACAGAAAAATAATCCAAAAGGACATGAAAATGCCTCATAAGGTATAAAATGGCATAAGATAGTTCAAACACAATAGTTAAGAGCCACTGAAAATGTGGCAATGGCATTTGCTCGTCATTGGTCATAATGCTGCTATTTCCTGTGAGAGTCTACTGTTAATCAGTATATGTAAAAGATTGTATGGTCAATTAAAAATTTTACTATAATGGTATGGTAATCAAGACAGTATGGTTATTGGTATAAGGAAAGAAATAAAGACCTATTAAGGATTAATAAATAAAGACCATGATTGAGAATCCAGAAATTAATCCATACATTTGTGGTCAACTGATACACATCATGGGTGCCTAAACTATTCCTAAGGAAAGAACAGTCTTTCCAGCAAATGGTGCTGGGCAAAAGGATCTCCACTCCTGCAAGAGAATGAAGCTGGATGCCTACTTCATACAATATACAGAAATTAACTCCAAATGGATCATAGACCTAAATGGAAGAGCCAGAGCTCTTAGAAGAAAACATAGATGTAAATCTTTGTGACCTTTGGCTAGATAATGATTTCTTAGTACAACAGAGTTATGATAAACAATAAATCAGACGTCATAAAAATTAAAAACTTTTCTGCCTCAAAGGCAAAAGTGAAAAGAGAACTTACAAGATGAGAAAAAATGTTTGCAAATAATTTATCTGATAAGAGATTTGTAACTAGAGTCTATAAACAACTTACAAATCAATAATTTTAAGTGCCATTGAGTTGATTTGGCTGGTAGGTTTGAACCAATGGCCTTGCAATTCTAACTGACCTTGTCCTTTACCCTACAACACTACCACAGGACTCCAGTATAAATCAATAATAAAAGGGCAATAATCCAATTTTTAAATGGACAAAAAGGATTCAAATAAGACAGTTCTCCAAACAAGATATGCAAATAGACAATAAACACATGAAACAATGCTGGATAATTAGTCATCAAGGAAACACAACTCAAAATCATAATGAGATACAACCTCATTTATTTCTTGTTTTTTTTTTTTTTTTGTTATATGCTGTGGAGTCGGTTCTGACTCACAGTGACCCTTGTACAGGGTTTCCGAGGCTGTAAATCTTTACAGGAGCAGAAAGCCTCATCTTTCTCTTGTGGAACAGCTGGTAGTTTCAAACTGCTGACCTTGTGGTTCACAGCCCGATTTGGAACCACCACGCTACCAGAGCTCCATCATCAAGTTTGTTCTGATCCATAATGACCCTATGGTACAACAGAATAAAACACTGCCTAGTCCCCATTGCTGTTTGAGCCCATTGTTTTTGTCACTTTGTCAATCCATCTCATTGGAGGTCTTCCTCTAGGATGGCGGTAATAAAAAAGACAAGAGAAAATGTTGGAGAGGATATGGAGGAATGGGAGCCCTCCTCATGCACTGTTGGTTGGAATATAAAATGGTGAAGCCACTTTGGAAAAGCCTGGCAGTTCTTCAGTGATTTAATACAGACCCAGCAATTTCACAATTAGGAATATACCCAAGAGAAATAAAACCATTTCTCTACACAAATGCTCAGAGAAACATTACTCATAACTGAAAAACAGTGGGAACAATACAAATGTCTACCAATATATGAATGGACAAGAAGTTCTGGTAGCATAGTGGTTACGAGTTCAGCTGCTAGTCTCATGGTCAGCAGTTCAAAACTACCAGCTGTTTTGCGGGAAAAATGAGGCTTTCTGCTCCAGCCTCGGAAACTCTAAACAGAGTCGCTATGAGTCGAAACCAACTCCACAGCATATAACTATCACCACCGGCAGCAGCATTTGAATGGACAGCAAACTGATATATACTGTTTTTTTCATAAATGGCTGTGGTTGTTTTTAGTTGCCATCAAAGGGGTCCCAATTCATAGTAACCCTGTCCCCAACAGAACTATCCTCACAATTTTGAGTCCACCATTGCAACCACTGTGTCAATCCATCCCGTTGAGGGTCTTCTTTTTCACTGACCCTCACTCTACCAAGCATGATGTCTTCCTTCAGGGACTGGTCTTCCCTGACAACATGTCCAAAGTACAATAAATGAAGTCTCACAATCCTTGTTTCTAAGGAGCATTCTGGCTCTACTTCCACAACAGATTTGCTTGGTCTTCTGAGAGTCCATAGTATTTTCAATATTCTTCACCAACAACATAATTGAAATGCATCAATTCTTCTCTGCTCTTCCTTATTCACTGTCCAAGTTTCACAGACATGTAACTTACATGAATATCATGGCTTGGTTCAGGTTGTGTTAGTCCTCAAACTGACATCTTTGCTCTCTAACACTATAAAGAGGTCTTTTAAAGCACATCTGCCTAATGTAACATCTTGATTTCTTGACTGCTGCTTCCGTGAGCATTGATTGCATATCCAAACAAAATGAAGTCTTTGACAACTTCAATCTTCTCTCCATTTATCATGATGTTATTTATCAGTCCAATTGTGAAAATTTTTGCTTTCTTTACATTCAGGTGTAATCCATACTGAAGGCTTTATTCTTTGATCTTCATCAGTAAGCAAAGTCCTCTTTGCTTGTAGCAAGCAAGATTGTGTCATCTAAGTAAGTTAACTTGTTAATGACGCCTCATTCTTCTTCCAATTCTGATGACTCATTCTTATTCATATAACCCCAGCTTCTCTGATTATATGCTCAGGATACAGATTGGATAAGAATGGTGAAAGGTAACAACCGTGACACACCTATCCTGATTTTGAACCATTCAGTATCCCCTTGTTCTGTTCGAATGACTGCTTCTTGGTTTTTGTGTAGGTTCCTCATGGGGAAAATCATGTGTTCTGGAATTCCTGTTCTTCACAATGTTATCGATACTTTGATACGATCCATACAGTTGAATGTCTTTGTATAGTTAATAAAGTACAAGTAAGTATATCTTTCTGGTATTTTCTGCCTTCAGCTAAAATCCATCTGACATCAGTAATCCCTTGTTCCACATCCTCTTCTGAATCCTGCTAGAATTTCTGGCAGCCCTCTGTTAAATTACTGCTGCAATAGTTTTTTAATTATCTTTAGCAAAATTTTACTTGCATGTGATATTAATGATATTTGATGATTTCTGCATTCCATTGAGTTAATATCTTAGGAATAGGCATAAATACAGATATCTTCCAATTGGCTGGCCAGGTAACAACTGTCTACCAAATTTTATGGCATAGACAAGTGAGTGCCTTCAGCACAGCATCAGTTTGTTGAAAGATTTCAATTTATATTCTGTCAATTCTTGGAGTTGTGTTTTTACCAGTGCTTTCAGTGCAACTTAGACTTCTTCCTTCAGTACCATCAGTTTTTGAAATGACTGAACATCAACCATTTCCTTTTGGTACAGTGACTCTGTATGTTCCTTCCAACTTCCTTTGATGCTTTCTGCATCATTCAATATTTTGCCCATAGAATTCTTTATTGTTGCCAAGTTGAGGTTTGAATTTTTTATTCAGTTATTTTCTGAGAAATACTGAGTTTGTTCTTCCATTCTGGTTTTCTAACTCCAAGTCTGCACATTTCATTATAATACTTTGTCTTTTTGAGCTACCTTTTGAAATTTTCTGTTTGGCTTTTACTTCATTATTTATTCCTGTTGCTTTAGCTTCTCTACATTCAAGACTGTCAGAGTCTCTTCTGACATCCATTTTGGTCTTTTCTTTCTTTCCTGTCTTCTTAATGACCTTTTGCTTTGTTCATGTATGATGTTCTTGATGTCATCCCACAACTCCTCTGGTCTATGGTCATTAGTATCTAATGCATCAAATCTGTTCTTGAGATGGTCTCTAAATTCAGGTGGGATATATCCAAGGTCATATTTTGGCTGTCGTGGAGTCATTTTAATTTTACTCAGTTTCAACCTGAACTTGCAAATAAGGGATTGATGGTGTGTTCCACAGTCAGCCCTGACCTTATTTTGGCTGATGACATTCAATGTCTCCATCATCTCTTCCCACAGATGTAATCAATATGATTCCTGATTCTTGTGTATTCCATTTGGTGAGGTCCAAGCATACTATTTATACTGTTGAATAAAGGTATCTGCAATGAATAAGCCATTGGTCTTACTAAATCCTTTCATGTGATTTCCAGCACTGTTTCTATTACCAAGTCCATACTTTCCAACTACTGATCCTTCCTCTTGGCTTCCAACTTTTGCATTCTAATCACCAGTAATTGTCAATGCATCCTGACTTCAAGTTTGGTCAATTTCAGGTTGAAGAAGTTGGCTGTTGTTTTGTTGTGAAGTGCCCTCCAGTTGATTCATAGCGATCCTACAGAGAATTATTCAGTTTCATCATCTTTGGCTTCAGTGGTTTTTCCTTAAAAATAATAAAAGTTATGACTTCGGGAAAAAGATGGCAGATCAGGTGGAAGTGTAGTGACGAGCTCTGCCAAGAACAACACAGAATACAGGACCAAGAAGGCTCAGGGAATGGTCCCAGTACTCTGAACCACATATAAAGGAATATTTAGAAGGTTGGAAGAATTACAGCTGGGGAGTTTGTGGCAGAAGCAAGAAATCC